AGCTTCTCATATAAACATACAGCAGAGATGCATGTGTATGAATTAATTTCATCATCGAATGTGGGTATTAATGTCATCAGGCATTTTTTAATGTTTGTGCCTATTCTACTGCACTTTGAGTCCTCCTTGCCAAAAAATACAAACTTCTTGAGAGAAAGCTAAGTGACTCTGTTGTGGCAATGCTTTCTAGTGCAGTACTGATGATTCTGTTCTCTTGCATAAAAGACATTGCCTTGTACGAGCCCAACAGTGAAAAAACGAAGAAAAGTGTCAATTGTTTCATTACATGCTTTCCATACACAGTGTTGACAAGAAAACCAAACCCAAAGAAACCAAAATATGTGAGTCTCCTTTGGTCTTTATGGTAAGTTGTCCCTCTCATTGTAAGTAATGCTAACCTATCCTGCAAGTCATGTAGTTGACATTATTATGGATGCTCATATCCCTGCTAAAATAGCACACATCCAGCAAGGTGACAGGTGTTTCCACTCCTTCTCTTACCCAGGGGAATGCAGTATTGAGGATTAGATTCCCTTTTATGGCTTCCAGGATGAAGTCAAACCAGGATGAAGAGGGGAGCTAGCAAACTGTGGCTTGCCCCTCTCTATACTGTATACAGGCAGGGAAATAAGGCAGGTCAGGCAGAGAATGGAGGCAAGACCTGGGACAAAGCCTAAAACAGAACAGAAGAGAGGTGTAGCTGACAAAATGACATAGAGATTTCCTAATTTCCACTTGTATTTAATGTATTTTGCATTTCAGATTTGTATTTTTATTTTGTGGCCCCCTTAGTTTAGTTTTCATGCATTAAAATGTCTTAAGTGTTTATAAAGCAACAACTATGTTTTTAAAGGAACATTCCCCCTCCCCCCTCCCAAATCACAACAGACGTGCAACATTAATTTAGGGTGAGTGGGCACAGATGTTATCAAAATCACCCTCTTACCTGCCAACTCCACCAAATTTTCCAATGCTTGGATATTTTCTTCCACTGCTGTGGAATTTCTTATTGTAACGTTCTCTGTGCTTTTTTTTTTTTTTGCCTTTTTTTTTTTTTTCTCCTCAGATGTTTTATCCAGTTACTAAACCTGCATATGGCCTCCTCCTCTGATCAGCTGTCTGAGCTAAAACAATACTTCATGACAATCACTGAAAAGAAAAGCGGCCTCTGAAGATACTGATGTGATTAGAGTGAGAGGTTAAGGACTTGTTCTGAGTGCTAGAAGAGCACTTTATAACCACGGCAAATCAGTAAGTTTGGGCTAGATGATGTGGCAGAGGAGAAGCGATGTGATGTGAAATATGAGTTGGGGAAGCATGCAAAAGAGAGGGAAAGTGAAAAGGCAGATTTAAAACCGAATTTTCATTTTCCAGTGTTACCAATGTGTGAGTTTACTAGGAGGATGATGCTTTTCTGTGCTGACTCTTTGAATTCTCGGTACCTCTTCTTTACTTCAATATTGTGCTGCTAACACACATCTGCACAGCAAAACGTGTGCAGATGTGAGTTCTCTCTGTGCCTCGGGCCTATGAAAAGCTATATTAGCACAACACTAAATCTGAACTAATGCACCCTGTCCCTCAGCAAGGACTAATATCTCAGGATCAGCTTCATGCTAACAGCTTTTGAGCTGCCTGGAATGGAGGCAAAGTGAGTTTTATCTTCCCACAACGTACTTTGTAGAGCTATCCATATTGGGTCTAATTTGGAAGAAGCATTAAAAGCTTTCTTAACACATGATTTTGCTTTTCATTGGTATATGTCAAAGTGCTTTGCAAACGAGGCAAGCATCACTGTCTATGTTTCATGATATGCAATACTAGGACAAGCAAAATACAGTGCCTGCCCTTAGCTACACAACGGTCAGGTCTGGAGCATGGTTCAGATCTCCATTACCCTATCCACTAGACCATATTGTGTCTCTGACTGGCAGTTGCAGGATTGTTCAGATTCTGTGCTAATATTCAATCCCATAATTCTTTATATTAATCCTGTGTTTATCAACAAATGTCCACAATGGCCAAATTAGAAACATTGCAGCCTAAATTTTTCTAGTTTAATAGCTACAAAATCAAAGCAGAATTATGTCAATCTATTGTGAAAATGTGCAGAATGTTATTCTCTATAAGCTGGAGTAAGTAATAACAGTGCCCCTATAAAAACATGCATGGAGGTCACATGTCAGGTTTCATATCTTTACATAGAAACTGAAAGAAAAAGCTCCTAAAGATAATTTCCTCTAAGTATGTTTTGGTTACAAATTAATTAATATTCCAATTAGCTTTAAGAAGTTGATTGTATGCAATACACAATGTTCTATGTTCTTCTATCTACCTTTGTTGCTTATTTTCCAAAAACATGATAAAACATTAATGACATCTCCTAGCCCAGAATTCAAGCCTGATTTAACTGGGTTAGCTTTTGTGGCATTGTATCAGGGACTCATTTGGATTTCAACATTTCAGGTTGTTTTACATATGTAGCAATAACTTTGCTGTTTAGAAATATGTGGTGCCATCATGTGGACAACATTAGAAAGTGTAAAAAACAGCTTTTAAAAGAAAAAGTAGGTAACAAATATCTGTATTCAGTGTCACAAATCAGCTGAATTATAAATATGTATTATATGATATAAGAAGCTATGCACAAATCTGTAGTTTTAAAACTGTATTAGGTAAGAAGAAAAACTGATAATGGAATCAGGAATTGTTGATTCAATCCTGTTTATTTTCCAACAGCTCGGGAAGTCCTTTCCCATGAGCACAGACTGATCAAAATACACACAAGAGTCTCCAAGACACTTTTAATCAGCACCTAATTCCAACATTACCTACTTCTGTACTCATTTCTGTGTCTGTTTATCTCTTTGGTTTTCCCCTAAGACTTTACAAAACTTGTTGTTGTACAGCCTGCATTGCTTCTCTCCCACACAAATGCACACACATTCACACAAACGCTCCTCTCCATAACATTAGCCAGCCAAGGCACTCTGCCCACACAGTTCTCATTCCTGTGTGAGTTCACACGAAGCTTTGTTTCACCAATGGTTTTGGTTTAAGGCCTCTTCTTGTTTCTTGCATTTAACCAAGAGCAAAGAGACTTTCCCAGATTCAAAATAGCTGTCCCTAATACCAATAAATGTCCACAATGGTCAAATTAGAAATACTGCAGTGCACTCACATAGCCTAAGTTTTTCTAGTTTAATACCTATAAAATCAAAGCAGAATTATGTCAACCTATTGTGAAATTGTGCAGAATTTTAATGTCTGTAAGTTGGAGTAATAACAGTGCCTCTATAAAAACATTCATCATTTGCCACATGTCAGGTTTCATATCTTTACATAGAAAGTGAAAGAAAAAGTTCCTAAAGATAATTTCCTCTATGATACACCATCTCTAACAGACCTGTGAAGGTTTGCACACGAGGAGTGTGATTCAAAAACTGTCCTCTGTAATACACTCCCCCAGAGCAAACCTGCATGTCACAGAACCGTAATCTGTCTCCTGCTCTGAGATCCTGTTATACCAAGTGCTAGTTAGCCTATTCTGCAGTCTGCTGATTTAATTTATATTGAATAAAGGCAAGAACTTCTAAAGCCTTGCCAGTGGGTTTGATATGGATAGTTTGTCTGGGATAGAGCTTGAAGACATAAGATGTTTGGATCGGTTCCTTCTTCTGTGAAAGTTTAGTGGTTTTGTTTTGGTAAAACTTAGAAAGTTTTATTTGACCTTTCTGTATATTGAAGATCTTTGGAATCCTCTTTGAGAATGGAGATTTATGTAGCATTTTACTCAGAAATTCACTTACTTTGTGCAGAAAGAGCCTGCTCTTGTGGTACAGTAAGAAATGGAATATGCATACGTGTAGCTTTACTAAACGGATAGAACAGAATGTCATACATTAAGAAGATTCTCTGTGGTTGCTGTTTCAGCTTCCCTATAAAGACAGGTAACTCTATGAAGTAATGACATCTGTTTTCCATGTCTTTGCATTTCATGCTTGGTTGATTTTGTTGTACAAGAAAATGTGAGTTCCAGCTGAAATTTCTACCATCCTTGGACCATTTTTTTCATGCGGATTCTCTGGTGTCTAATTAGGTATAAAGATAGACTACAATCTTTTTCCTGTTGGATAAACTTACAGTGTCTCTTATTCTGTTTCTACTTTGGCATTTGTTTTCATGAAATTTGTGGGGCTTAATTTTCTTTGACAATTTTACCTTGCTGTCAAACTTGGTAGAAATTATTACGGATTGAAAAATTCTGAGGGTAGGAGGCAAATGGAAAATGGTGACGCATGGATAAGGCTGTCGGAAGTCTCTAGTCTGTATCACTGTGCTCAAGTTCTTGATTACTTGGCATTTAAATGTTTAGAATACATGCACAAAGGTAAAAAACTCAATTTATACCTTTTAAAATTAATTCCCGTAAATCTGAAGCCAATCTCTAGATAAAGAGACCTCTCATGATTTTTTTTAATAATTGGCAACATTGTGCTAGACAGAGCATGGAACAAGCTCAACAACCAACTTTCTTTCAGATGAACTTTAAATGTCAAAGTATCCCATGATAGCTTGCATGAGTTTGGTTTTCAGTGTTTTGGAAACTGTACACTCATTCTTTTTAAAAGTGTGACACTGTTTTGGTTTTGGAAGAATTGGTTAAATACACACTGAAGGCCAGTAAGGTAGTGAAAATATATTAGATTTCCTGGATTCTGACATCTTTTGCCATCAGTGAACATGAAAATGGGAAAATGAACCCTTCCTGATTCATGAATTTTTGATGTTCATGACCGATATGCATGGTTCATCAAATTTTATTAGTTTTTTGCCCACTGTATAACCTTGATGAGTTAATGAGATTATGCAATATTACTAATGGTAGACTTTCATTTCCGTTTTTAAAACAAACATCTCTAAAACTAAAATCTGAACAGAAAAAACAAGAATCAGAATCTCATCAACCTCTGTCGGCTATAGTCCGGGATTTTTATATTCTATGTCTTTTCATGAAACTCATTCTTTCTGATCCCACCTGGGTGAGGGTTGGGTCTATCAATCATTGTACCGTCCTCATCGCTGGGATTTCCTGTAACTATTACCCAGTAATTCTTATCTTCTTCAGCTTTATGGGAGTCTAGATAAGTGTGACAAATTACTTCATATTCTTTTCCAAAATAAGACCTGCAAAGTCAAAGAAAAGGGGATGGGCAGGGGGAATTAATATATACACAAATTCAGCAAATCTGCATTATCTGTAAATTGTTCAAGGTTTTCTCATGTTTTTCTTGGCTTATTCAGATATATCACCATGCACTTTCAAATATCAGACCATTACAAGAAACACAATAGCCCAGTTTGTTTCCTACAAATAATTTAGTAATTTGAAATCAAAGTAATTAGTAACTTGAATTTAGTAATTTGAAATGCTACCTTTCTAGCTTCAGAGCTAACGCAGCCCCATCAGTATAAGACACTGATACGCCAATTCAGTATGTACAAGCTGGTTAAGTTCTCATCACCATTTCTCTCTGACTGAGGAAGACTCTGGCTACTTAATAACTGTTTCAGCCTCAAACTTTCAGACCTTGCTTCATCCTCAAAAACCTGATACAAAGTCTCAGTCAGATCTTGCTCAGAATTTAATCGGAAACAATTGGTATACTCCTTAACAATGCTTAATCAATATTAATTTAATGCATGCATAGTAACTTGAATTGTTGGATTGACTTCAATTTGTTGAGAGATTGATTCATATGGACATAAGCAATATACAGTTTTATGCAGTGTGTTTTTATTTAGTTCTCTTACTCCTTACATTTCTTAGTATACCATTTTTTTTCTTCAAAAAAAAAACCCAAACGACTGTAATTGCTCAAGATATTCAAAGGGAGAATGACCAAGAAACTAGAGAAGGCTAGTAGCACGATATGATATGAATTAAAAAGAAAAAAAAAACACCCAAATAAGACTGAACTGATTGCAGCAACACAATGGCACACATTATAGCCCAGAAATAAAACAAGGGAAAGGAGAATGTGCATTCTGTGTTCTTTTCCATTTCATCAGTGTGTTCCTAAAGCAACTATCTTGCTTCTTACAGTAATTCTTGATGTTGGCACACCATTGTGCACATCCCTGCCAGTATTCTTACCTTGTCCAAAAGTTCCTTGGAACAGCTAAGCTCCGATTAGTATGGCAATGAGTAATAATCATTTTAGAGTTTGCCTGGAAAAAAACACGGGAAGACACTTGACAAACATTTTTACACTAATTTTAACTATTCTTATTCAAATTAAATGCTTTGATTTACTGCTTAGTGTAAGCCTGCATTGCTCTGTATCACTCTGAGACTGCTGTACATTGATAGTGAGATATTTCACAACCTATCAGTTCTCAACACAACTGTCTTAACAGCTCAGACCAGCCAAATGCTTAGCCCTCAGGTCAGACACACTCTCCTGTCCAATACATTCCATTCCATTCCATTCCCTTGTGCTGGGTACTTCAGGGGGAAAGAAAAAAAAAAAAGTCAGGCAAGTAGTAGAGAGTCATTCCAGTGGCCTGTACCATCAGGGTAATTCCACTTACAGATGGTTTGGGGGCACAGCCTAGAAATGGACCTTTATAGTTTATGAATTTGCAATTTTTTAAATATAACAGAATTAATTTTTAGTCACCCCCATTTACCAATACTGTGAAGAAAGAATGTTGTCTTTGACAATTACATAATTTTGACTGTGTTTATTAGTGAGCTGATTCATGTAAATGAGTCACAGTTCACGGCTGTAGAGGAACAGTTATATTTGTGATATTTTGCTATACACCCAGCACTTCAGGAAACCTAGCAGTTATGTGGAACACGAAAACACTGCATCTGTTTTACGTATTTACAAAAGGTTAAAAACCACATTTGGAAAAGCATCCACTTATTCAGATGCCTTAGGGGGTTTTTTAATGCTTTTTAAATTTAAGGTACAGGAGTTCTTAATTAATCACAGCTCCTAATATTGGAAATTGAATTTAGTGCTCAGAAGTCCTGAAAAGCAGATTCCAAGTACTGCATCCTCACAACATGATGGTGTCAACCTTCAAAAAATTCTGGTGAGAAAAACTGAGCAAGTCAACCTCAAAATGAACACCAGAACCTAGTAGTTGTATATGCAGATTCCCTGGTTAGAGAGAGTGTTTCTTCCCTGTCCCCCTTCCTAAAATTACAGGTCAGAACTTACATAAGGAAAATATGTGAATAAAATGGACATAACTTTTTTTTAAGTACTCCACCTACTGTTTCAATTAAATCTTCATAACATTTTCTACAGTTTTAATTTCTTACAGGAACTGGAAATCCTTCATATTCAAGACGCAGCTGTGGATCCAAGAAGGTAGCTTGCCAGCAAGTCAAATAGGAAAGCTCATCCGTCAAAAATACTTGCTGAAGGTAAGATTTTTTAGCAAATCTTATAAATGATTTATGGTCACTTGCTAGATATAACTGTAAATAAAAATATATATTAAGGACAGTATAAATATAAAAGAAACAAGATATGTAATTTTAAAAAAAATTTTTCAACAGAAAAAATTTTCTCTCAGCTCCTGAAAAATCAGTCTGCCAAGCTAAAGCTACACATACAAAACCCATAACATAGATTCTATATTGTTGATAAACTCATTAAGTTAGCTGTTCTATATGCAGACCAGTGAATACTTATTTAAAATTGAATTTACATTCCAAAGATTCTCTCTCACCAAAGTAGTTGTTGAGAGGGAAAATTTCTCCAAAGTTGTGGTGATTTATTTTGAGTGCATATGTAACATGTAATATCTTATTTGCTTCTAACTTGCAGAGGGAAACAACACTAACATTTAATAGAAATCTGCTCCCTCAGAATAATAGAATAGTGTGTTACTTATTATACTCACTATAGATTTATCTTCACAAGGAATGAAATCTTCTCATTTTGGATTTATTTAAAGAAAAAGTAAAAAAAAAATTTCCCTCTAATGATGAATTCTTTCATGATTCACACGCTAATTTTAATTTCCTTTTTTCTTTTCTTTTTTAAAATCTCCTTTATCCAGTCATTCTGGCTGACAGCCCCCTTGGCCTACGCACCTGATCTCAGGCAAGTTACATAAATTTTCTAAATAGGTATTGCTTATCTTGATTTATCTATGATTCTGAATCTGTTCTGTAAAGCTAAGATGTTGAACTACTGTACAGCTTTTAATATACAGAGAGAGTAATTAAATGCACACTATCAGTATACACTACCATTGCCATTTGCAAGTCCACTGCCTTACCATTTGGTCAGAAAAACCTCCTGTTGTCCCAAGACCAAAGTTTTGCCCAAATCTAATCGGTTCATCCGCTGCATTTCCATCAACACTGTTAAAATTTTAAAAAGGAAGAGAGAGACATTCAAATACTCAGCTTTACTATTATTTTTTGCTTTGGTCTTAACTGAAAAGACATTTCATACTTGACTTACTGGTTAAAATATTTAACAGAATAGAAACAGGCTGTATTGATTACTTTTTATGACGTATTCATTAACATGCAGGGTGGAAAGATAACATCCAATGAAAAATCAATGGGAATTCAGCACTGAGGCCCCCTTTAAAATATACTTAATACAAGCATCTGAAAAACCACAGACTAAAAGTGGAACAGTGTGTGTTTGTGTTTGTCTGTAACTTAACATACGTTGCTAATAATACATGTAACTGATATTCAATAATTACATCAATATACATGCTGGTATATCCCTATTTCCAGAATGATTTCTGTATTTTACATGAAAGAATCACTAAATTAAGTGCTAGGCTTTCTAAGTATATTCAGTGTAAAAAACTTATATAGCTGATGAACTTAGTAGTCAGTGAGGGACTTCACAGCATTCAGTGCCAACAACTCTAAGATCAGACAGCAGCTAAGCAAAAACATTTTGGTTGCAGTTCTAGAAGGCCTAAATTATGCTCTTGGCATCAAAATTCTTTCTTAGGTCTAACCTGAAGTGTTTTGCTCTATCAGGATTATATGGGTTAATTTGTACTCTTATGCACTATTGTTATGGTTAAATACATGCACTCAGGCAGAGCCTTCCACTATTGAGCGGGACCCTGCTCTTCTGTTTTTTCTCCCACAAACAGCTGGAATTGAATGTCTTTGAGAGAGAGAATATGCTGTTTGGTTAGGCGTTTTTTTAGGACAACAGAAACACCGTCCACTTCATGTACAGCAAAAGCATTGACACAAATTTCTGCTTAAGAGACCTTATTTGCAGGAGAATGAATAACAAAACTAAGTGCTTTTTGGACATGTTTTGTATGCTACAGCTGAAATATGACCACGTTAAAAACAGCTGCAGAGTTTGCCAAATGATACAGTGAACTTGATTCTGTTTTCACACTAGTTCTAAGCTGACTTAAACTTTCTTGGAATTATTCACAGTAATATGTGGAGCAGAATCAAGCTTAATGCATTACCGAAGTTAGAGACTCTTTCTTAAATAAATTAACCTTACACAAATTCATCTGCATATTAGCAAACTTAATTGCATATTTCTCACAACAAGATACTGAAAGCTAACATAATAATTGAAAACAACTCAGAATATAAGTATCAAACCTTAAAATACAAAAAGTATTTCGACCCACAGGGTCCGCACTCTCGACTGCGCTAACTCCACAAGGGGCTTGCAGTGATTCGGCCAAATACATGGATATTTCATCCAGATTAATTGCCAAAGTCAGACTGCTGCACGCTCCAGGGTGATTCTCCACTGAGGATCTGTTGTCTGGGTTCAAAAGCATCACAGTGTCTCCAAAATGAACAAATCCATCCTTAGATACCGACAGCTGTATCTAAATTAAAATATACATATTTTTTACAGAATTATCTGAACCTAATATCAGAATTATTTTAGCATACAAAAATGTTAATCCATATCATTCTTAAGGCATAAAGAACACTAATAGCAGCTATGCCATTCTCTGTGGAGTCATAGAGGATTGACATAACCTGCTTAAAAAATTACCTTCTTTAAAAGATTATCTTGAAGTTTGTTTATTTTCTGTATTAAAAGTTCTCCTCGTTCTCTTTTATGCATAAAATCCCTCATGCGGTCCTGCTTGCAAAGGAGAGAGGGGGCAGACATGTTATCCAGCACTAACAGTCTCAGGTTTAAACTGAATTCAAAGAATTAGGGGGAAGAGGCAGGCGAGGCTCCCCGGGAACCAGAGAGGAGGGAAGGGCCAGGCTCCACCACTACCTCCTCCAAACACGCGTCCTCCTTCCAGTTGCCGATGAGCACCCCGGGTCTGTAGGCGGCCATGGCTGGCGCCTAGGCCGCACGGCGTTCGCTGTCGCCATAGCGACCACTCTAGCTAGCGATTGGGCGCTGGAGAGGCAGAGCCCGCCAATGAGCGGGAGCGAGCGTGAGGGAGGGGGCGGGCTCTTCCTACCCAGCGGCGGCGCGGCCCAAAAACTGAGGAAGGGAGCGCGGCGGGGAGAAGGTGGGGAGGAGGGGTCTTCGGGGGATCCTGGGGCGGGGGGTGGGGAGGGGAATGCAATAAATGTTAAAACCGATTCAGATAAGCCGACTGCCCCTCCTTGGGCTTGCCCAGCGCGGGTGGGGTTTGTGCAAATGGTACACTGGCAGACAGGAGTAAGCCTCTCGAATTTGTGCCCTCTTAGGAGTACCCGCCAGACCATGATATAGCAGGGAAAGGCCACGGCAAGTAAAAAAAAAAAAAAAAAAAAAAAAATTTTGATTCCCTTGTGTTTTTGCCCAGTCTGACAGGAGCTCTGAAAGCAGGAGGCCTGCTGAGCCCCTTGTCTTCCCGCAGGGATGTGCTGAGAGGGCAGCGATGCTGCTGGGCCCAAAGCGGCTTTTCATCCCTTCACGCCTGTCTGAGGGGTTTCTGATCACCTGCCTTAATGCTTACACCTTTTCAGGCGTCATTGTACATGAAAGTACTTCTGTTCCTGGTTCAGTCGTGTGATGGTATAGTTGCACAAATGGAAGATGCTGAGATTCAGGAATTTGAGCTGAGCTATAGTCTTAGTGTGGGGCTTTATTTACAGTCAAGTAGCCTTTTATGCTCTGTATTGGTCAAGGAAGTGCATCAGCTTAACACAACAAACGAGTTCCTGACATTAACACTACAGTATTGGTGAATATTGTGAATGCATTAGGTGAATATTTTGATTACAAATGTTTCAGTTTGTAGTTATTTTAGTTTTGAAATCTACTATGGCAAGATAGGCTAAGTGAAGATGCTATGTGTTTACTTTCCAGATAATTTAAGCCAGTGATTTTCAATGATGGTGTAGATCCTTGCGCAGGACATTTAATCCCTTTACAACTGTCATGGGTTTCTTGCAAGCTTACTATTGTAAGGTTTCAATGCTGGACAACTTACAAAAGCTTAAAAGAAAATGGTTTTTGTATGGACAGCTGGGCTACATGTTATTATCAGGCAGTTTTGACAACAAGCCACAACCCGGCTCTTCTGTGGGTTGTTTTTTAAACCAAAGGTTATTACACAAAAAGTATTCAGTACAACTCAAACCTTTTAAGGATGAAATAAAATCCATTTTTGTTCAAATAGCACCACTGTGTGGCCAGGCTTGGTAAATTACGCTTTCCTACACCTAGCTGTGTTAAGTAATGCTGAAATTGTTTAATTGAAATAGGGAGGAAACTTTGTTCATCTTGGCCGAATATAAAATACTTTTGGAAGTATCAGATGTGATTTGAAATCTGAAGTGTTTTCAGAAAAAGAGAGGTAAAGTGGATTTATCACACTTTTGTTCAAAGCTGCATAATATATTTGAACTTAAACGATATACTTTTGTTTATCTCAATGTGCAATGTCTAAGAAGTTTCAAATCATTTTAATTTTTTTGTTTCAGAATTAAGCCACTTTTAAATCAATATTCAGTAATAAATCATCGTTATAAAACTATGTATTATACTTAGCTGTATTATTAAGAAGAATACATGCACTCTGTCTCGCTGTGCGTGTAGCTGATACAGAGAGTCCACAGAAAACTTCCACAGTTTTGTAGCCTTATACACCATCTGTACTTAGTTACTTATAGATTCTGATGCAAATATTACATAGAAAGAGGTAATTGTACTCAAAATGTAATTGTGTACAGAAATATCTCAATGCATCTCTTAATAGCACTATACTGTGACTATCATTGTCACCTGGAAGACTTTCATTTCTGATTGCATAGTATTCCATGAAAACAAACAAAAAGAGCTCTCTATAAGCAGGTTTGTAAATTGAACATCTTTTCTGCAGGAAAGAATACAGGTCTATTCAACTCATCTCAGTTTCCTTTTAAGCAGATAAAATCTATGTTTACTCCTAACAGTTGTTTGCATTATTAAATGGTGTGAAGAAAAGCTGTACTTGTGAAAGAACTGGTCCATGTTTTGTGTGTTAACTTATGCCAGCATACAATTTGACCAGACTTAAAGGTCTATTTGGCTTATTGGAAGCATTAGTATTTCCCTTTTTTTCTTTAAGTCTTTGTTAAATAAAATTATAGTTAGTGTACTTTCAGAGACTCTTCCCCTCCTGTTGTAGAGTTACAGCTCTTTTCCCCTTTCTCTTTTCTTTTTTTTCTTTTTTTAGTGAAAGAGAACTAGATGGTTGAGAAGACCCAAAATAGCATATACAGCTGTTTAAGCCATTAGTTTACGTAAAAGGCTGGGCTGATTAGGCTTTTAATTGCCTTAAGATTGTCAGTAATGCGTGAGATAGAGCATGTTTTAAATACCTTAATATATAAATGCATTGGTATGTATCCGTAGTACAAATTATCATCGTTTAGTCAAATCTGGCAAAAAGAGCAAGGTCTGAATGGATATGAACATAAATTAAGTCCAAGAAAGAGGTATGCCATCTTTATTCAGAGGAAGTGGCAGAGCATTAAGTTTTTCTGTGAGCTCTTCCACTCATATACCTTCTTATTTCATGGTGGAAAACATGATTTTTTTACTTGTATCTGCTGTTTGGCAATTTATTTATTATTCTATTCATACTGAAAAAATACTAAACCAATGTTTAATCATATGCAGGTTGGATGAGAATATTTTTAATACCTGCCTTTGCTGACTTGGGAGAGTATCTATGTTTTTTCCTCTTTCTTTCCCTTTGTTTTTCCTGTTGAAAATTATGAATGTGCCAAATTTGATTAACAACACAGACTAAATAATACTGCACAGGAGTAAAACATATGTTCTTCAGGATGATTTGTCTCCTTTCATTTTATTATTTCACACTAGCATTATTCTGACACATGCTATGAATCAGAGCATAGCTATCATTTTTCTTTGCTGTTATTAGGTTTCTGGCTATTAAAATGATTAATCTGCTTGTTAATAATATAAATTCAGTTTCTTATTCTAACCTATTCCCCAAACACTCATCTGTTCACAGCACAAAAAGAATTAATTAGTGTATGTGATAAGATTTAAGGATTGTTGTTTTGCTAGACGCTTGTACTGATGTCTCCCATTTTGGCTGTGAATTTCAGTGTGGAGTTTTCCTGTAATGCTTGTTGCTGAGGAGCAATCAACCTGTTCATGGTATAGTAATTTCTGAAATGTAGTAATCCGTTAAACAGGCCTCTCAGTTTACCTTTTACAAGAAAGGGGAGCAGGATGCTTGTGTGTTGTATTGGCAGTAAGTTTGCTGATGCAGGTACACAAGTGGAAAGTTTCCCAATATTAGATCTGGTTGAAGACAGGCAAAACTGCTATGATTTCTCATTTGGTGTTTTATAACCAGAAGATTCTGCTAGAGAGAGAGGGAAGGGGGAAGGAATCATTTGCAATGCATCTAAGACCGCCAAACACTTGCCAATTAAAGTTTGGGTTGAGTTATCCACATCTCCATGGTATTTTCATTCTACTGGTCTCTAATTTAGACTTGTACAGAGTATGCCCGTTTGAGAAATTGTTGTATAATGGAATATTTTCTCTTCAAATTGAGCTGGTTCATCATGATGGATCATGCTAGCTATTTGAAGACTTTTTCCTCTGCCTGGCTGAATCTTATTCAGGAGATGGGCTTGAAAAACCACTAGAGTTCAAATCTCTCAGAAAAATGTCGTCATTTCAGGAGCAGTAACTTATGAAAAGAATATAGAAATATTAAAGTATGTGTCCAAGGAATAACATTGTATTTTGCAAAGAGATCTGTATTAACTCTGAAGAAGCTAGAATACTTTCATCGGCAAGAAATAGCTGAGCTGAGAACTACTGTGTGTATTAGCGCAAGCAGAAACACCATTAACAAAGCTATCTCTTCACAGGACTGTGGACTATGTATGTCTACCCTCAGACAATTTAAAAAAACTTATTTTTCAAGCTATGGAGTATTTTTCCAAGGTATCATGACCAGAACAATGAGACTGGCCATGTCATTGGCTAGGCAAAAGGTTTATATTTAATTTGCAGTATTTAATGTACATTATATGATCTCATCTGACTACTTCTAAGTACTACTTGCCAGGGACCTACTTGAAGAGACTTTTGTTAAGTGATGTTCCACCCTACTTCCAATATATTGAGTGCATTGCATTTACTGAACTACAAAGTTCTGTCATCACCCACAGGCACTGACACAAAATCATTGTGGGTGAGGCGTGGTCCTATTTATAACGGGTGGAAATCAGGTCATTGTCTCTCTTGTTTACTGATCTGTTTAAACTTTGGTTTCCATGAATACTCATACTTCAGATTTTTTAATTTGCTTTTTGTTAGCAATTTTTGCATATAAAAAGTAATAGCATGATTGTCTGTAGGGGAAAAAAAGCCCTAAACTCCATGACTTTAGCTGACTTTGACTATGGGGGTTGTTCAAGCATGCAGTCTTGCCAATGTGAACCTGCTGCTCCTGAAACTGAAAAGCAACATTTTTGCATGACCTCTTGTGAACCCAGATCACTGTTTCTTCCCACTTTAGGGCTAACTATAGATAGTGCTTAGGGTTGCCTTTGCTTCCCTGTTTAGCCTTGCCTGCAGCACGATCCTTATCTTCTATTGTGAATTGCCTATGTGCATCAATCATGGCCGGGTTATGTCACTTCTCTCCTTTTGGATTTTACTTCCCTGTGATGATAGTGTTAAGATAGAAAACAGTCTGTTCCCTTAGTTTTCTGTAGTGGAAATATCTGCTTCAGACTCTTGAAGCAAAGTAATGATGTTTACAAATAACAGGAGAGATGCATGTCAGTCCATCTTCAATCCTTTGCTAAATTTGCTTGTTAGAAGCTGTATCCCACTGGGCCCACATCAGAAGTTTATTTTTG